TGTCGCTTTGAGTTTAAGTAAGAACACAGTGCTAAGTAAGTACTCTTCTGGGAAAGCTGTCCACAAGGGTACAAGTGTTTTTATTGGAATTTCTGACCATTCTTTCAGGAGAACATTTGTGAGGTCTGGCACTGATGTTGGACAAGAAGGCCTGGCTCACAGTCTCCGCTCTAATTCATCCCAAAGGTGTTCTGTCGGGTTGAGGTCAGGGCTCTGTGCAGGCCAGACTCACTCATCCATGTCCTTATGGACCTTGCTTTGCGCACTGGAGCACAGTCATGTTGGAACAGGGAAGGGCCTTCTTTTCGGTTATATTGTCTTTTTCCCCAAACTGAATAGAACAGTGATACTTTATTAATCCCTGTTTGCCCCATCTTACTCTCCATGACATGCATAAAATAGTGATACTTTATTAATCTGACATGTACATACTGTATGCAGGTGATAGCAAGCTTGGGGGTCACAGCAAAAGGGTCAGCCACCTTGTGGGGCCCAGGGAGCTGGGGGTTAAAGGCCTTGGTCAAGGGCCCATGACCATGTGGCTATTCTTTGGAGGCCGGGCTCAAACTAGTGGCTTTCTGATCACGGGCACAGAAGCTTAGCCTGCTGAGCTACACACTGCACAAACGTCTGCGCATAACCAAAATGGCCTACACAAAGGTTCATCTGCATCGTCCTTCCCAGAATTTGACCAGGAGCTTTCACATTCATTTATGCATGCTGTGATGAAAATTGGGTTGAAAATGCAATAGATGACTTTCTATATTAAGACCAGTATGGGGGGGCCGGAACTGCAAATGTTGATTATGAAATGTGTCAGACAGCACTGTGGACCTTTGTAAAGGTTAAAGCTGAGGAGCATGACAGACAGCGTGACTTTTCTGCATTCAGCAACTGGAATCTAATGTACTCATGATTAGTGTAAATGCAATACAGAATACTGGGTGTAAATTGGATCTGGGGATGTTTGGAATTATTTGCCATAGTTCAGTGCAAATATCAGTCTGCTTGTGTAATGTTTTTCTTGTGTGAGTTCACAAATGGTCGTTAAACTGGGCTAGAAGTCGGCACTATGAGATCGTCCCTTTTTTCATAAGGTCATGGCTGATTCTCTCTCAATGTTATGGTTGATTCAGTCCCACATACAGTATAATGAGTTCCAATGCATTGCATATTCTTTAAAGATAAATGGCATTTAGATTTTAAAAAGCAAAGACAAGGCAACTTTATAATTCCATTATCACATTATTAGTATGATTTAGTTTAGTTTACATGTTCAGTTTTTAGTTTACATGTGATGCTTGTCTGTTGCTGTTTTAATTTTATTTAACTAGACATGGTGTTCTGCAGAATTCTCTCAGCTGTAGGTTCTGCAGCAAAGGTTATGTTACTTTGAAATATATCTGGCTAAGCAGTTCTTGTTTTAAGAAATATTGTTATTTTTGAGATTTAACTCTCAAAAAACTCTAAAGGCTGTCCAGACAGCTGTATGACGCATCATCCCTGGTGAAGGAGACTCTGGTCCTACAACTGATGAAATACAGGTGGTTGTCGATACATGAATGTTTATATATTAAAGTGGACGGTGTGATTATAAGGTTAAAGGTTATTGATGTGAACGTAATCATTGGTCTTTCCCTACACCTCCTCCATCCCTCTACCTCCACAGGCCAGAACACGACTTTCCCAGCGGTGGCCCTTTGGGTGACAGTGGGTCTGGCCATCTGCCTTCTGGGCCTGCTCATTGCTCTGGCTGTTGTATGCCGCAGGAAGATCAAAGAGAGCTGTGAAGAAGCTGCTGCAGGTGAGGCCTGTGCTGAAAATGGGCTAAGAGTGGTGCAGTCTGAATAGGTATGTTGATGTCAGTTGTCTGTCCGGCCCCCATATCAGTGCTCTAAGCTGTATTGAATAGTAGGATCAGATAACACTTTACTTGACGGGGTACAAGTTATGTATTATTAGGCTATAACTTTTGTATTAATTAACCTCAAAATAAGTCATAGATACATACTGATCTAATCTTAGTTCATCATTAATGATTCATGACACATCTTTTATCTCAAGCAATTAAAAAATTTGTTACTGTATTTGTAAATCGTTGTGAACTACTGAAAGAACTACTAAGGAACTACTGAAGGAACAAGAAATGAATAACATAAGTGAAATACTGATGCCATGTTTGTTTATTCATGAATCATAATGCATCTTTTATCTCCAAGTGGCTCCAATATTTGTTCATGATTTATACTTACAGTAAGTAGTAACTAAGTTATTACTAAGTATTTGGGCCCCCTCAAGTACAGTGTTACTGTAGAATTATATCCAAAATTTCCAGTTATATCCAGAATTTCTGAATAGAATTTTGGTAGAATAACTGATTTGTGTGTAGTCAGGGGATCATTTGTCTAATGTTCCCTCAGATTTTGACATTCATTTTCATTGATTGACCGATTTCTTTTGTATGTGTTAAGTATTCATACTCACATGACATTTCTACAGATTGATAAGTGGGATATCTAAAATAATAAACATTTGGCTTTTGTGTTCTAGGTCTTGCAGTTAATACGCCTTTTATCTTGTTTATGTGTATAGTTTGTGTAGGAACTCATTATAAAGGTTAGTCCAGGCTTTGTACTTTATTTAGCAGAATGTCTTAAGGTATGCAGCTCTGAGTATACAAGTTGTGGAAATCCTTTAATGTCTGTCTGTAATTGGTTGAGAACATCCCTCTGGCTGCATTCTTTTGTTATTCATTATGCACTCTGATGCCACCTTATTCTGTCCAGGCATTTAATTGCTCACTAACTTCATGATGTGTTGCTCCAAACCTCTAGCTACTGTATCACATGCACTGGTGATGTCTCTGAATTAAGTCGATCTTTAACTTTTTTTCTGGATGTCACCTGTCAAATTTAACTATGCATCCGAGCGTTCCTCTTGGCTCTGAACCCGTCCTTTCTTCTTTGTTCTGGATTTCATTCGCTTAACCTGCTTGGTTTCCCTCTCCAGTGTTATGTTCACTTTTGATGGACTTACAGCCCTTTGGTTGTTGCTGGTCTTCCTCTGCCTCAGGCGCTACCCTGGAGTTGCTATTAATTGGTCATTTTTTTCATCCAGTCCTTTGTGATCTGCAGTCAAGTGTCCTCTTTCATTCCGTTTGTGTAGATTTAGCAGTGTCATCTTCTGTTGAGTCACTGCTGGCGTTTCCTGACTCTGGGGGTATTTTTTGCCTTCAATTTCCTAGCTGCCTGTTAAGTTTCCTACTCCTGCCATCCCATATTTTCTCTGCTTCCTGAGTCAACTGTCACCCCAGGCTATAAGCAGGATTTCCCCTACCACCAGCTGATGTGCTCACTGTGGCTATGGGACAGGGCCAAAACTGTCCGATATGTCATTTCATAATTGCTTGGAGAAGAGATCTGTCTAGACCTGAGTAATAATTAGGTTTCAGACCTTCTTCTGTGTCTGCCTATATTGAAATCAACCCTATTGATTGGGTGGGTGGGTGGGGGGGTGTCATTAATACCTCACTGTCCCTTTGCTTTGGCATGTTATGCCGAGCAGCTGTCTTCACTCTGTCATGTCTCCCTTCCTTCTTAGGTTTTCTGAGGGGCTTGAATAAAAATATTGCTAAGGAGAAGCAACATGTGCAAATAACCAAACTGAACTTTACTTTATTTCTTACTTCATGTCAGTATTTATATCAGTTCTCTATTGATATCAGGGCAAGGGAATTGAGATGATGAATAATGAATGATCTCTGCTGCCTTGAGTCCCCATTGGAGGTCAACACAGTTGTTATCTATTCAACCTTCACAGAATGCGACCAAAGCGAAATTCCTATCTGAGCCACTGGCTGGCTAATCGCATACTGCTCCGTTGGGGAGGGATTGTTGGCATCAACAGTGCATTAATGTGCGATGTCAGGGACCGCAGCGTCTGTAAGGAATGTTAAGGCCCCAGACAATGAGCGTGCCACTTTCGCTGTGGGAGGTTCATTAAGTGAGTTGCTATAATTAGCTACACCTAATGATGGCAGAATGTGGGAGGTGAAATAGCTGGGTCATAAGGACAGTTCCTTATGACCCAGCTATTTCACCTCCCACATTCCTCCCAAGTGCTTTGTAATGGGGTCTGCTCTGGTTACAGACATTTAAGTTAAATGTTGTGTGCTTGCTGGTATAGAATTGTTCAGATTTTCAATGAAAAGGAAAATAACTGTGTATAAAACGTTTAAATAAAAAAGCAGCCTGCCCCAGATTTTCAACCTTGACCGTGATATGCTGGTTGTGATTGAGATACAGTTATGTTTCCATTGTACTGAAAACCATATTTTTCTCTGTTAACACTACCAAAAGCTATAGGAAGTGTGAGGGAATCCAGTCTTATGGATAAGCCTTCTGATTGAACCGGAAGCACTGGTTTTCGTTTTCTCTCGCGTCTCTAGAATTTGTGCTAAAATTTGTTGTTGCAGTCTTTCTCTGCTAGCATTAGCAATCTCTGTGTACTCTGCACTACAGTGCCTCTTTAGATGTTTGATCAAATTGCTTGAGTTAAATGTCATGCTGTCCCTTTAATCCTTATCTGAAGGTGTGGTACCTTCTGATTGGAAGCATGCCAA